TAACCCATATTCGTGAGGTACCGGTACATGCCGCTCCCCTGTCAGTGTGCAAATAAGTTAGCCCATATTCGTGAGGTACCAGTACATGCCGCTCCCCTGTCAGTGTGCAAACAAGTTAGCCCATATTCGTGAGGTATGGGTACATGCTGCACCCCTGTCAGTGTGCAAACAAGTTAACCCATATTCGTGAGGTATCTGTACATGCTGCTCCCCTGTCAGTGTGCAAACAAGTTAACCCATATTCGTGAGATACCGGTACATGCCGCTCCCCTGTCAGTGTGCAAACAAGTTTGCCCATATTCGTGAGATACCGGTACATGCCGCTCCCCTGTCAGTGTGCAAACAAGTTAACCCATATTCGTGAGGTACCGGTACATGCCGCTCCCCTGTCAGTGTGCAAATAAGTTAGCCCATATTCGTGAGGTACCAGTACATGCCGCTCCCCTGTCAGTGTGCAAACAAGTTAGCCCATATTCGTGAGGTATGGGTACATGCTGCACCCCTGTCAGTGTGCAAATAAGTTAACCCATATTCGTGAGGTACGGGTACATGCCGCTCCCCTGTCAGTGTGCAAACAAGTTGGTCTCTCTAATCCAACACTGCCATGAACTACATACATGGACAAGGTAAGCGTGCATGCACATTTGAATTATTATGTTTGATAAATGCACCGAATAATGATTAGTTTTCTGATTTGTCTTAGAGTACATTGAAATTCACCTTGCCATATTTAATAAATAAAGCTACATCATCTGCATCCATGGTACTGAAACTGATAGCCAAGACTCTGGACATGGTGAGTTGCATTCCTTAGTCAAAATATGTCATTAGATGACCAATCACTCAAAGAACTTCATAATGTAGCATACAAGACATTATATTGTCACTAACTCCTCAAAATTATATAATTCATTTTCATTGAAATTATCATTGCATCAATTGTATATCGATTATCAATATTATATGATTCATTTTTACCTTGCCCGTACCATCAAAGATGGAAGGGAAAGGTATGTTAAGGGAAAAATTGTTTCCGTCGTTGTTGTTGTCGTCGTCGTTAATAATTGTTATTGTGTGCATGATAACTTTACTAATTCTATTCCAAACTTCATCAAACTTGGTCACCTTGTTCATCAGTATAAAGTCTTCCCCGAGTTTGAACAACAGATGTCCTGTATGAAAATATCATGCAAAAATTGAGAAAAACTGATAAAATATTTTGACTGTTTCTACTTGACTGATCACTG